CGTTTCACCCCGCCGAGAGCGGAATACCGATGAAAGGAAAATTCGTCTGTCCGTATACGTCGGCCGGCCGGCCGTCGGCTCGCGGCACGTAAACTCGGCAAATACACCTCGCGCCCTTGAAACATCCTCGCTCTCCACGGCGCGCGGCGCCGATTTTCTCTGGCCGCTCCTTTCTTTTCTCCCAGGAAATTCATAATACCGAACTCCTACGGGAATATGCTGATTTTACGAGCGCGCTGCTATGCCGGGCGTCGGGCAATATTTTTCGAAAATTGTCGGTGCTGTGAAGCACGTAATCGCGACTCAATTTTCACTTTGAAAGGAACGCCCATACTTCGCCTCTCCTCCTCGAGTCTTTTTTCTCGCTCGCTCGCTCGCTCGCTCTCTCTCTCTCTCTCTCTCTCTCTCTCTCTCTCTCTCTCTCTCTCTCTCTCTCTCTCTCTCTCTCTCTCTCTCTCTCTCTCTCTCTCTCTCTCTCTCTCTTCCTCTCCCTATCCTCCCGCTGCACACACCCCGGATACTCGTCCCCCTCGATATATGCACCTTCTCTACATTTAATCGCGTATATCCTGCCCGCTCTCGCCATTACTTCGTACTTTGCACATTACTTTCACCCTTCTCTCCTTTTTACGCGCTTTATTAAATGATGTCTAACCATCCGGACGGCAATCTTGCACACTTGTGAGATAGATTATGACCTCCTTAACCGAAAGAGAAAGAAGGAGGGCAAAAGGGAACGAGAAAGAGGGACAGAGGGATCGGGCGCAGAAACGGGCGAGCGAATGAAGAGTTTATTCGCGAGAATTATGAAATCATTGTAAACAACTATCCCCCGTCAGAGAGAGGGCAAAGAACAGCTAAGCTGTACGGTAATAAAATGGTCAAAATAGTGCTATGAAAGAGAGAGACAGAGAGAGAGAGAGAGAGAGAGAGAGAGAGAGAGAGAGAGAGAGAGAGAGAGAGAGAGAGAGAGAGAGAGAGAGAGAGAGAGAGAGAGAGAGGGAGCCTTAATGATGTGCAAATTTGTAAGACACTCACACGTCGCGTAGCCCCTAATGTAAAATATAAAATATGCAAACAGAGAGATAACAAGTTTCATTGATCCATGTACATTGAAGCTTCTTAGGAAGTCTCAAGTGGTCCCGAACAGTCGACGGAGACTTACGATCAAAACTTACCTGTCGTAGATTTCGCCGAGGTTCTCAATTAAAAATTTATCACGCGCCGATCTAATTTCATCCGCACATAATGTCAAACATGAGAGAAACCCACATCTTCAGCGATGTGACTTAAAGCGTAGAAAGAAGGGGGGGGGAGGGGGAGCGTGAGAAAGAGAAATGAAAGAGCAGCGACGTAAGCTGTCGCCGGCTGAAGAGATACGGGAGGGCAGGAAGAGAGAGAAAGAGTGCGAGCGAGGAGGGATGAAGACGCGCGTGTCACACATCATTGTGCAAACAAGCGTGGAAAAACGCCCCCGAAGTCAATTCGGTGCAGCGAAGGCGGAGGAGGACGAGGCGGCGTGGAAAGGACGTGCCGTCAGTCGTGGATGCATTACCTTCCGCTGGGCGTCTTTTACGACTTTTTAGGAAGTCACAACAAAGTTCGACAGCGAGTTTCGCACAATGGCTCCTCGCAATCGCGCAACCCCACCCTTTGCCGCCGCCTACCTTCTTTCGTCGGCTACCTTCTCTCTCGCTCTCTCATCGGCGCGGACATTCTCTCCACCAAGCGCGCGGCATTGTCTTTGCGCGTCGTCCGTACCGTTCCTGGTAAATACGAGCGGCCGACACGAAATCCTTTATGCCGATTATCCTCAATAAAGTTTCCGTGGCGCTCGTTAAACTGTTTTGAGATTACCGCGGCGCGAGCGTAATTGAGTTTCCAAGTGGAAGGAGGAGGTTTAATTTCGTTAAAAAGAGTTGGTAGGTAGGTGGATGGGTGGAAGCGAGTGGGCGAGGGCGGGGGTGAAGGTACGCCTCGACTCGGGTCAACCCGACGCGACAAAATGGGGTTACTAAAACGAAGTTTGCCGAGGCAATATAGCCGAATCTCTTATTTCTGTCGTTCGATAATGGCCAATGTCTTCCGTGGATATCCAGAACGACGAAACGTTCGCGCGCGCGCGCGCGCGCTTCGTGCGATCCGTAATAAAAATATCTCGCGATTTCGCCGAACGATGTGGAACGGCGGAAAAACTCGTACGGCTCGTTCGTTTAGACGGCGAATGTAACACTCGCGTTACATTCCGTCATACTCGGAGTTCTCGCTAAGGGACAGCGAAAAAGGAGTTGCACATCGGGAAACTCGTTACGGAGCGCGTTCCGCAAACACTTCTCACGCTCTAAAACGCGCATTATCCGCGCGAAGCTCGCGTATAGACTCTTCGCACGCGGCCATCTCCCTCCGTATCCGCACGCCCCTTGCCATCTCGCGTTCCCTTTTATTTCAGCCGATAATTTCACATATTTCGCTCGCGAGTCGCGGTTAGCGCGAGCCATAAAAGTGCCGGCGGGATAAACCGGTACGTCTTTCGCCGCGAGAACTTGCCGAGAGAAAATCTTTCTCTCTCTCTCTCTCTCTCTCTCTCTCTCTCTCTCTCTCTCTCTCTCCCCCTCTCTCTCTTTCTCTCTCGGTATCGTCTCGAGCAACGCGCGCGGCTGCATAATTCGCCTTGATCACGAAACGGCGCCGCGGACAGTTACGTCGTTGGGGAGCGTCGTCGTCGTCGTCGTCGTCGTCGACCGTCGTCGAATCCCTCTACAAACCACCAACGGCACCAGCATCGACTCCTAACCCCGACGAATCGATGCTGACCGATAATAATATTCCATTACAGCAGCAAGACCGTACATCACCGGTCGTCACGCGGACTCCCTTCACGTATACCGTCCACGATGGGCGATAGCATCTACATGAGGCGTTAATTACGTACCGTTCTACCGCGTTACACTGGCACTCAAGATATCCCGAGTGCCGTAGCCGAACAAAGACGGTGGAATCGTCAACTCGATCTTTCTTTGCCTCCTCTCTTGCCCGAGCTCTCGCTCCCACATTCTCTCTTTCATTCCCTCCCCCCTTTCTCTCTCTCTCTCTCTCTCTCTCTCTCTCTCTCGCTCCTCTCTCTTTTTCTCCTGCTCCCTCGGCGAGATCGCGCGCTGTGTGCTCTATCGCGGGTCGCAAACGTAAGATCAAATTCCAGCGTTTATTCAAACTCGCCGCCGGCGCGCGATCCTTCCGATCCTTTGCACCTCGCATCGTTGCGCGATAGGAGTAAGACAGATGCGCCGGCCGGATATGAGGGATCGCGTCCGTAACGACGAACGTGTAACTCGAACGACACCTCCGAGCCGGCGCTCGGTGCGAACGCGGACGATTGGCGATCCCCGCGAGTCCCAGATAGTTTTGCGAAAGCGCACGAATCAATCATCCGTCGTCGCGGACGAGTGTCTGATTCTTCTAACGAACGAACGGGGAGAGTGATCGCGCCCGGGTTCGAGAGCTCGACGGGAGTTAGCCGTGTTGTTCTCCTTTTTCCCCGCAGTCTCTGCTCATCCGCTCTGAATGAACTCGCTGGTGCTTCCTCGACGCCTCGACGCCTCGAGTCAAGAAGGACGAGAGCGCACGTTTCATAGCAACATGGAAGAATCGTGAATGAATGCGCATCTCACGCGCGCGTTCGGTTCTTAGAGAGGCATAGAGCTGCTCCTCCTAGTTAGATTTCCGCACTTCAATGCCGAGCTAACTCGCGCCACGTGTAAGGCTGCAGCTCTCTGTTATAAACACATTCTGTGCGTCAATTGGCTTGATTCTAGTGCCTGCGCGGAATAGGTAATCTGCGCGTTTCAATTATAAACCTAGAGCTACACGAGATATAGCGTGCTGTGTGCGCGCGCGCGCGCACTCGCGAGCGAGCGCTCGCGCGAGCGTATTCCAGACTTTACCTAGGCTTCGGAGCACGGAGATACGCGAGGAATTGATAATTTGCAGTCTCTAACGAGACGCTTGCTGGATTATTATACACGTATGGCACGATTCTGTTAATGGATATTCTGTATTCCGCGTAATCGGGCATTTTCCAGACCACGTTATTTCAAGCAACGGTCGTATCTCCGCGAACGAGCGCGCTGCTCGCTCGTTCGCTCGCAGCCACGTGATTCCCCCGCGGCCGTTAAGCGCGCGAGCGACTTTTCAGGCACTGTTATTCGAATTTTCTCCGGGATTGCGATCGAGAAACGTACGACGTTGGAATTGATTTAGCGAGGACTGCGCGCATCCCGCAGCGGCAGCCAATACATGGAAGAAACAGCGAGCCGCTGGACGGGAAAATAGATAGTGACAGATTCAGTCGATGGAAAAGAATTGTGCAGCGGGTGTCAAAGGATTTTACCGCAAGGAGAACATGGAAGTTCTCCGCGACGGCTCTCTCGCGACGGGCGATTTTAGCGAGCGCTGTCGGCTCGGCTGATCGAAATTCCCTTTGATTATTAACAGTATAAAACGCACGTGTGTGTTTTATACACACACACACATACACACACATATATATATATATATACACACACACACACACGCGCGCGCGTGTGCGAATATTCTTCTCTACTCTTTTCCTTCGCGACATTATTAATAACGACGTAAAAGCGAAGAAGAGGAAAGGCTAACCACGCAGGAAGGGCCGAGCGACGTGTTCCGTCGAGGCGGTGTAATTTCCCGAAACAAAACTTCTTGATCGCGACTTGTCTTTATTGCGGTGGGTGGCGATCGTTAGGCGTACCGGTAATAAATTCCCAAATATCTAGGATCGAGTAAAATCCGGGATTACAAAGAGCAATCGTAAAGTTGCTCGGGTGAGCTCGAGTAATGTTATCTTATCTGCACCTAGAGCGATTCTCATTAACCCGCCGTCGCGCCATTACGCGTTACGCGAAATTGCTCCACCTCCTCTTAAGCGAAAAGTTAACCCCGACATATTTGATATTGAAATACTTGTGCATATCACTCACCGCTGTTGTTGCAAGATTCGGCCTTAGCTGAGGCTGCCCTGCGCCCTGCAATGAGAAAAAGAGTTTTTCGGTCAGAGACGCCATATCGACGAGAAGACGCGTGCGAATTTTTTTTCTTCCTTTATTTTCTACGCTTCCCGCTTGCGCGTACACGCGACGTAGATTGTGACGTTCTCGACGTCTCGTTTCAGCACCCGCGAAGAAGCGAAAAAAGAAAAGAAAGGGAAACAATATCCGAGCGGCCGATTATTATGCACATATCGTACGACTAATAATCTGGCGCCGAGCGTGAGGAATGTAAATTTTCGTTTCCCTTCGGACATAAGGCAAACCGCCATTCCTCCCGCATCTGGAAATATTCAAGCTGCGAACGCGTAAAAATTCAAACTCTGTCTTATCAAAGTAAGGAATAAGCGCCGTCGCCGTCGTCGTCGTCGTCGTCGTCGTCGTCGTCGTCGACGTCGGTACGCGACCGTCGGTGAACTTTGTAATGTGACATATAGTCCCCACTCCTCTTCGCCCGTCGGTCGTACGCGAACGCGGGATACCGAATTTAAATTCTTTTCGCAGTTTCCCGAGAATCCACCTTAGAAAATGAGCGATGAAGGCGGGGGTGGGTGCGAGGTGTGCGACTGCAGCTGCAGAGAGAAATATTAATTCCAGGTCTTTCTCTCTCGCTTCTCTCTCTCTCTCTCTCTCTCTCTCTCTCTCTCTCTCTCTCTCTCGCGCGCGCGCGCGCGCGCTACGTAAGGAGGCGCGACTGTGTGTGCCACTCATATTCCGCGTACGTAGTGGTAACGGACCCATGAGAGTGGTAGGTCGGCAGGGAGACGAATAAATTTCCGTCCTGCGAGTCGGTAATGGAAGAAATGGCGGGGCACGCGTGGTCGGGTTAACAACGCGCACGAGGGTGGATTGTTAAATCAGGATAGGCTCGGATAGAGTGTACATCTGATATCTGTGTGTGTGCGCGCGCGCGCGCGTGTGCAGCCACTGGCACGGAAAACACGCGCGGTCTTATCGACATTTGCGAGGAGGGATGCAACGGCCAGACAATGGACAATGAAGTCACGGAGAAAGTGCGAAGTTTGTGGAGTAAAGGGCTAAATTAACGCGCTCGTTGAAGCGTAGCTTCGCCGAGAATGCGCGGGGCAATAATAAAGAGCCAGACATTTATACGAGCGTGTGTCCTACCGCGGAATATCTCGCCGGTATCTTATCAAATTTTAACGACGCAGGATTTACATAAGTATCCGGCATAGACTCCACCACGGTATCGACGCGATTTCTCCGTGAACTGTGAAGCGAGTGAGCGTTCGCAAGGTAAACCTTGCGGATGCAAAGTTGAAAAAATAGCAAAAAGAAGAGAAAAAGTGGAAGAATCGCACACAACGTCGGGGGCAAAATTTGCAACAGAGAGACAACCGCTCGGATCCTCTAATTTATGCAAATGCGTTCCCTTTTTTGACTTGAGCATGCGCGACACGCGCTCGTTCTCGCGCAATTCCACGTAGCAAATCGCAGCGACGGCCCGGTCTCTCTCTCTCTCTCTCTCTCTCTCTCTCTCTCTCTCTCTCTCTCTCTCTCTCTCTCTCTCTCTCTCTCTCTCTCTCTCTCTCTCTCTCTCTCTCTCTCTCTCTCTCTCTCTCTCTCTCTCTCTCTCTCTCTCTCTCTCTCTCTCTCTCTCTCTCGAAATGTCAATGCGATCGCATCGGGCCACCGAAACGACTCTCTCTTTCACGTCTGACTTTACTACGGCGCACGTACACACACACACACACACACACACACACACACACACCGGTCGCCGCGCCGCGCCGGTGTGTGGGGGAGGAGGAGGGAGGGAGCGCAGAAATGCAGCGGCGCGATGTGGTCAGATTCGCGAGTAGTTTCAGCCGATTGCTGACCGCGTACATTTTGCGGACAATGCTTTCCGGGAAACGTATCCTGGATCCAGTTTCCCCCGCGGGAATGGGGCGCGGGGATGAACGGTCGAAGAGATAGCGCCGGCCCCCTGCACATCGGTTGCATCGTCATTCGATGCGTAACTACATCCAATTGCTACCCGACAAACCTTCCTGGGAATTCAGCGAGCCGTGGAGCACCCGTGATGGTTACACCACGACGGAAGAAGGAAGACGGAGGAGGAGAGAGTAAGAGAGAGAGAGAGAGAGAGAGGGGGGGGGGAAGAGCGCGAAGAGCGACGACGGCGAAGGAGAAGGTGATGGAAGAAGAATAAGAGAGAGGCATTACACGCAGACTATGGTTTATAGCACAAAGTGCAGCGAGCGGCTTGGCACTGCCATTTGCCGAGTGACATATGCTTGGAAAGGGAGGCCGCTTGGACGTCCGAACGGCGCAGCGGAGGATATAAAATCCATCACCATCGCCTCCAACGACTGACTGGTCGATACGACGTCATCCTCGTCGGTGTCGACGTCGTCAACGTCCCCGTCGTCGACTTCTCTCTCGAGTTTTCTCTCTCCGTCTCCCTCCCTCCCTCCCTCTCTCTCTCTCTCTCTCTCTCACTCTCTCATACACACACGCACACATCGACACCTCGATGAGTCTCTATTCTTCCCTGTCTCTCGATCTCCCTTGAAAACTACTCCGCCTCTTGGACGGCTCTTTAATATCGCCCCGACTGTTGCTCGCTTCCTCATTCGGCCAAGTATGCATCGCGTAAACTATCGATGCCTGCCGACTCGGCGGAGCGGACTTTATCGCCACGGTCGCGCGGTTTGTCATTAGCAATTTTCCCGTCTAACACGCGTGCGATACGATCCGACCTCCTGTTATCCGTACGAGCGGAGCGTTGTCCCGCTCTCCGTACGTGGGGAGCAGCAGCAGCAGCAGCAGCAGCAGCAGCAGCGTCGCGCGTTGCGCCGCGTTCTATCACCGGTAGTTATTAACTAATTGAAGTTATTATTTCACGGTCATAAAAGCGGGGGAATACGAGCGCCAGCGTACATCCACCAGCGTCTGGTCACGACGAGGATGACGCCGCGCGCGCCGTCGAGCACGCTGGCACGCCTCTCGCGGAAGGCGAGCGAGAAGTCTCGCCTCGCGCGAGGCATCGCCCAGCGTCCACGAGGGGCTGCTAGAAACGGAACTTGACCGTCGTCGGACATCGCGCCTCGTCGTCCGAGCGTTTCGATCTATTATATGACCGGTACACGACCGGCTCTCTCCCTCGTCGTGCGATGCCCGTGTGCGCTCTCTTTCTCTCCTCTCTCTCTCTCTCTCTCTCTCTCTCTCTCTCTCTCTCTCTCTCTCTCTCTCTCTCTCTCTCTCTCTCTCTCGGCGTGGTCACGGCGTGGTCGTGCGCGACGAACGGTATGGCACACGCTTCCGCGGTAACTCCATAGCGCGGTTATTATAAATTCCCCGGGAGTAGGCGCGGAGTAGGTAGCCACGTAGCTACATACTTGGATAATAGTCTGAAACAAGCACCGCCACGAGAAGGGCGAGGTCAGCTTGTCTGTCGCATATTAAAGACACCGGGTCTTGTATCTCTCCCCTTTGGCGCGAAGGGCAGGCAGGAATGCGCATACGAGAGGCTGCTGCCCCGCGTAAGTGGCTCGTATATCCGACGGATAGCTTTCTCTCTCTCCCGCTCCCCCCTCCCCCCTCCTTTCCTCTTCCTCTCTCCCTCTCTCTCTCTCTCTCTCTCTCTCTCTCTCTCTCTCTCTCTCTCTCTCTGTCTGTCTTTCTCACCGTATGCTCATGTATCGACGAGCAACCGGAAGAAGTTAGCCCGGGCACCGACGGCGATACGGTCTATTGCCGAGCGAGAGCGCGTTCGCGGACTCGGCGCGGCTTGCCGGCGCGAGTAAATTAAAGGCGCGCGGCGGCGACAAGCGCATTGTTACGCCGCCTGATATATACGTCTGTTTGCAGCGCGAGCGAGATCGCGCCAAGGGGGAGCCGTGAAATGTAACATTATAAAAGTCGGCAAATGATTTCGCACGTGATAATCTCAGGCGCGATCTAGACTCGCTGGCTCTGCCAGCCGTCGCGCCGCGATAGGCGCCGTTGATTCTTCTATAATTAGGTTTGCCAATTTGCGGTCTCGGGATAATACTACTTTATTGTTTTTTTTTTCTGTTGCTCCTTGTCGCTCCTCCTCGCTTCCTCTTTCTCCTGCCCCCTCCCTCCTCTCTCTCTCTCTCTCTCTCTCTCTCTCTCTCTCTCTCTCTCTTTTCAAGGCGTCGGGGAAAAATCGCGTGCTAACGTCCGGCTATCGTTTATTAGTACGTTGATCAGCGTCTCTCAGAGCGGCTGTGTGTGTGTATGTGCGCTCGCTCCGTAATTACGTAGCTGTTCGCCGGTGCTTTACCGTTTTAATTCGCTCGGTCGCGGATTACGAACGATCTTTTCATGCAAACTACACGCAACGTGTACGGAATTTCGGCGTAAATTGGTCGTGCGAAACGCGCGCAGAATGCCGCATTGCGTGTACGTGTGTGTGTGTGTGTGTGTGTGTGTATGTGTGTGTTTGCGCGCCGTCGCAGTTTGCAAGTAGTTCGTAGATAATTAACGTCATGTGATCCCTGGGAAGCGTCTTACCTACTCGCGTTATCGGGCCGAAGTGCGCCGCTAGAGAGACGCTTTGTTCCTTACCGGTAGCTCAATACTGTCAAGGGAAGTATACATCGGCGGTTGACCGTAAAATTAGTGGAACGTCTTGGCAACTTGTTCGCGGTAAAACTGATTTCGCCCCCGCTCCCCCCCTTCCCGCGTACGAAAGCGTCGAGTTACGTCACGGACTTTCGATTAAATTCTCAGGTCGCTGACGAGAGGACGAGAGGAAGGGGAGGACAGGGCGGGTGTTCGCGTTTAACACATCGGTAGGCAGATTACTTTTCTCCGGACATGTCGGTGCGGGGCGCAGGGGAGGGGAGAGGCTCGAGACGTGTCCCATTCTCTTCCGACCCTGATCGGCCATTAACGAGCGCGAGTCGCCTTTAGCGTTCGCCCATTGATCGTGAAAAAAACAGAAAGAAAACTCCCCCCGGCGCTTGTTCGTTGCTATCGTCTGCTTTAACACGATTAAGAGGGCGAGATCCCCGCGAGATCCAGCAAGACTGTTAAAACCGGGTCGAGTTTTCCGGAAGACACGGGCGATATTTTAGACGTGCCCGCGGCAAATTTCGGGCCGTTGCACCCGCCCGCCGCCCCGCTCGTCGTTTCCTCCCGCTGTGACCCTTCTTCTCGCCCGCCACTGCCCTCTCTACCCTCCGGATCATCCTCGGACCGACCATAAGGCGAGTGAGCACCGGCCCGTAAAATTTCCATAAAGATCACGGCGCCTCTTCGCCTACCCCTCCCCCCTCCTCGCCCCCGTACCCCGCGTGAAGTGTCCGTACAAAGGACCGTTTTATGAATTCGCGCGAGATCTATCCGGTTGAAACGTTGAATAATATGCACCTGCTGCGGCCATTGAATGAGCTACGCTCAGTCGTTCGCCCTTAACCCCCGTCCCGGGAGTCACGTTCCTGTCGAATATTCGCCTGAATTCCCTCACGTTTTATCGCTCGAGCCCTGATTTCCCCGCGATCGAACCGGCGGTGGCGGCGGTGGCGACGGCGGCGGCGGCGGCGAGAGCCCGTGGACCGGACATAATCGCGGCCGT